AGCTACACCTGACAGAGATGCAGACCGTGTAGCTGCTCCTGCAAGTCGGGTACGCGGTCAGTGACCGCATACCTGACTTGTGAACTGGCTGTGGGACACAATTGGCCTGTTGGCCGGTACTTTGAGACCACTGGTATAAAGCATAATAGCTAATATTTGATAGTATAATATTGCATTGCTATCAATGCTCTCAGGAACATAAGAATCACCGGCAATTCAAAACTTCCAGTCTCCTATGAGGTACTGAAACAATTGTTGACTCCCACGTTTCCTGGGAGAGATGACAGCACAACAAGTGTAATCTTGAATAAACCTGGTTCCAATTTTTCAGCTCAGCTTCCCTGAACTTCTTCTCAAGTACAGGATCACAAGGGTCAGAGCAATCTGCAGCAGCCGCCTATCTACTAAGCTGGGTGAAGGGAGAAAGGAGCAATGAGAAGCAGACAAGTGTCTTGTCTTGCTGTCCCTGTGTGATTGTGGAGACACTGCTTACTGGCACACACAAGGGTGGCTCCATAAAATCCTGCAAGGGAAAGGAGACCCTAAAACAGGATATCAGTGCCAGTGCTCAGTGAACCAGCTAATTCTGTAGAAAACTACAAATCTTAAACAAGCAGCATCCATTCTAAGTGATGTAATCATCATTTGAAATGACTTAAAGTGGACCTCCCCCCTTTTACTAAACATCACCTCAGCTATCAGTTCTGCATGCTGATATGAAATCATCTTACATTCATTACTTTAAAAAATGTACAACCCAGTAAGCAGGAGTGCTTAGTTACATTTAGTTGTTGCCAGATTGTAATAGGTCTGATGCTGATCTAATAATCTATGCACATTTGGTTTCCCCTAATCAATCTGCTAACGTTTGCATCTGCCTGCTGCTTGGTGTATCCTTAGCCACACAGCAGAGCAACCAATAATGGATTATGAGTATCTATGTCTCCCTGGCCAATCACTAGGAGGTTCTGTAATACGTTCCCCATCTAGCGTCTCGACTGGAGCGTGGCGTAGTGATCCCCACAGCGATTACCACGGCTTGCGCTCCAGAGTGGAACGCAACGTGCAGAGCGGCCCTCACTCGGCTGCGCCCCCCAAACCAGCTGAATCGTTAAATGCGGAAGAGGAGCTCAGCACGGAGTTCTACTAATGGAGTGTGCGCCCTGCTACCGTGTTTCCCCGAAAATAAGACAGTGTCTTATTTTCGGGGTAGGCCTTACTTTCGGGGAAACACGGTAGCTCCATTTGCCTCACGTTACCGCCTGGGGACATCGGGACCTCTCTCTCCTACCACTCCAACGGACTCACTATCCACCGACCCAGTCTGGGTTCATCCAACTGCAAGTTTTGGGAGACTTTGCCACTAGCTGTTTCCACCAAACACAGTATAAGCCTATGGACTAATACATCCTGATTGCTATTGATAGCTGCATTGTCATTGCTGAGATGCTTCTATGAAATAATGTTTAATTCAACTCCAATTGATACTTGCATTGCCATTGCTGATATGCTTCTCTGAACTACTGTTTAATCCTACTCCAATTGATACCTGCATTGACTTTGCTGATATGCTTCTAGGAACTACCGTTTAATTAACTCCAACTGATACCTGCAACCCCACAGCCGGCCACTAGGGTGGGGCTGCTCTAGTTAGTATTATCTTCCCCATTTAATTAGGACAAGGTGTATGATGTTAGTAATTCCTAACTCTCCATAGTTAAGATTGAGAGAGCCGCCAGGAATTCATACTGAATCACCTATAGAACCAAAAGCTAAGTACATAAGTGTGTATTCATTAATGCTGCACAACTCCGCGGTTGAGATCCTGACCATTGAACTAGGAGCGTTACAGGTTCATGGCCAGAAGGTGCATGCTGTGGAGGACATAAATATTCGGGGCGTACCATGTAAGTCTCTCTTTCTCCCCCTGGCCCTGCCTGGGGGGAGGCTGCTATGGACTGACAGATTTGACTGGGCCTGAAGTCTTGGAGGCTAAGCCATGCGCTCACACTGAGGTCTAAGTGTGGAGGCCCAGAGACTGATACTGAGGATGAAGATGACAGAGTAACTTCAACAGGTTTGGGGAGCCTGGGAAGTGATCCTCTGCAGTAACTGGAGACTTTGTTCCTGAATGGACTGGTGATGATTTTATGCATTTATTTGTGTTAATACCAGCCTGAATGTGCATCAATCCTCATAGTACAAGAGGGAGTGGCAGCACTGTAGCAGCATTGTATGTGGCAGACAATAAAGAACCACTGTCTCTTAAATCTAAGAAAAATCAAGGATTATTATTATTATTATTATTATTATTATTATTATTATTATTATACAGGATTTATAAATTGCCAACAGTTTGCTCAGCGTTTGCAATAAGAAGACATTACAGTTACAATACAATTCAAGACAAGATGGTTAGGAGGGCCCTGCCTGTGAGAGCTTCTGATCTAAAAATAATATGCAGTATGCAGTAATATGTCTATACTTACCAGATTAAGAAGGAAGGACTCTGCTTTAATGTAAATCCATTCTGCTGTTTATTGTACCTGGAGATACTGTCTGAGAACCTCTGGAGGTGGAACAGACGGTACGCAGGCTTGGAGCAGCACGGGTGTCGGAAGTGTTGCTGTAGGTACCCGGACAGGTGGTGCTAGGACCTGTATGATGAGAAGGCAGACCAACGGGTGTAGAAGTTAGCAGTGGAGAACAGCAACCGGGCGGATCAGGGAAGCAGCGTTGAGACGGACCAGGTCGGTGACTAGCAGTCAGATAAGGTACAGAATCGGAGGGCACAAGCAATGTCAGGAAGCAGGCCAGGTCAGCAGCGGGTTGACAGCGGGAAGCAAACCAGGTCACAACACAGGTCAGATAGTAGGATCAGTTTTTAGCAGGTACACAGCTGAAGATCACTTCTGCCTTCTAAATGTTGTTAATGCAATTTCTACTTTACTGAAAGGATGAAGTGTTTGTAGACTTCCCTTGTTTTCACATTGTTGTGATAGTGATGTGAGTCAATTTATGACCTAAAAGCAGAACTGAAGCTAAACCTTTTTTTTGAGTGATAGAGTAAGGGAGAATTATAACCTTTGTCAGCTTTTTAGTGTCAGTGATAATGGTCACCAGGACAAATAGAGAAGGTGAATCTCCCTAATCCTTCTCTCTCCCTCTTCAATTGAAGTAAAAGGACTTTTGCCAATGATCATGGAATGGTGACAGCAGGAAGGGGTAGAGTAAAAACAACGCTGCTTTAGAAACCATCAGGCCTGACACATCAATAATATATTAACAAATGTCTGCTTTCCCAAGGACATACTTTATCTGGGCTACAAAGATCTGTGTTCCTAAAACCGAAAAAAACTTGACTACTTTAAACTTTATAAGTAAAGGTTGAGCATGGCAGGACCTGTATTAGCTGTAAATCTCTCCTTGGTGCATCTATCTGAAACTTGTCCTACCATGTTATTAGGAACTCCCCCTCCCTGACTTTTGGCCAAGACTGCTTCACCTTCCAACTCCCTCTTCAATGAAAGTACCTCGGAGGCCAATAAGGGTGCTCTCCTTGTTCAGGGGTGGTGGGTAGACAAAGCTTAGTCCTGAAGTCAAGAAGGCCAAGCCATAAGTAACAAAGTAGAGCCAGATTCAGAGGTGCAAACAAAAAAGGTTTGGACCTCTAACATGTGTAATGGTATTTGACTCTTGCCCATCAAATCAAATTGGTGCATGCTCTTAGACTATACTTTTTAAATGAGCTCTATGTACACTGGCTGAGCAGCCTATCGGAGCTCACACCAGACCACAGCTGGCTACTTATACATTCTTTCCTATAAAACAAGGGAAGCCAAACCTCGGCCCTCCAACTATTACATAGTTACACAGTAAGCAGGGTTGAATAAAGACAAGGGTTCATCAAGTTGTTGAGCTACAAGTCCCACAACTGTTGCTGAGCTACAAGTCCCATAAGGCATTGCAAGACTCTGACATGACTCCCGGCGGTAGATGTATGATGGGATTTGTAGTCTCACCACAACTGGAGTGCTGAAGTTTGGCTACCCCTGCTATAAAATATTGTCACTGCAATTTGTTTTACTTTTAACGTTTGTCTACTGAGCTACAAGTATTCAGGTATAGCAATAGGTATTACTGTAAGTAGCCCAACTAATCCTTTGCCTTTAATCATGGTTATATAATTACTGCTAGAATTCTCATCCACACCCATTTGCACAGGCTGCGTGACATGTAACATCACTACTGCACAGAGTTCATACTAATATGTTACATCTGTATTTATAACTGCTATGCCACTGTATACTACATGGCACATATGATTTCCTATAAAACATTGACATTATAATATATGTAATGGACATGTGTTGAAACATGGAAGCTAATACCAATATCTTACTTGTTCCTTTATTGTTACTGAAAGAGACAGAATGTCTAAATTACCTAGATTGTGGTTTCCCCTTACAATGTAACATTGTTCTGTATATTATTTCATATTTTAGGATCTTATTCTATATTGTGCAGGTATTTGTTGGAAGGAATTATGCCTGTTTGCATTGTTATTTTGTCTTCTAATGCTTTGGTCTCCTGTGAGGATTTGGCTCAGCACATAGTCTGACTAACCCTAGTTTTGGATTGGACAACATATCTCCCATCAGTAGCAGATGGGGCCGAGATTAGCAGCACTCTAATCCAGAGGAAGAATTTGCAGAGTAATGAAGAAGACGCAGCTGAGAGATCTGGAAGAGGTAATGCTTAGGACACAACAAAACAAATTATATATAGAGAACAAAATGATAAAAATTCCTGGTGTGAAGTTGACCTAATAGCGTAATGAGCAAGTAAATACAAGAGCAACAAGTAAATACAAGAGCAATGATTATATAAGAGCGATAAGTCAATATCATATTAATAACTTTTATGATAACCATCTACCGTTAGACACTATTTTTTTAATACTTATTATTGTATTCTTCAACAGCTGAAAAGACGTGACCATGTCCTTGATGGATGAGACTGCATCGGACCTTCCAGTTAAGGACACAGACTGCAGACCGACGGTTTTGAAAGCTATACAAGGTTCATTCGATTTATTTCTGTTTTTCACAGTTTTTTTTCTAATTCTTCATGTCTTTCCTGGCAGCTTTAGTTATTTATGTGTGTTTTACAGATTTTGTAACAGGATCCAACCCACCAAGGATATTGATGCAGAAATCTCCCAAAATGAAAGGTATGCCAAATGTTTAAAGATTTTCTCATTCCCTTATGTATTGTCTTGCTTTAGTGCTATAGGCAACCTTGGTACTTCCGCTGTGGGGAAACTACAAATCCCAACATGACTCTGGGAGACATGCTTGTGACTGTCAGAGTCTTGCAATGCATCATAGGACTTGTAGTTCCACAACAGCTGAGATGCTAAGGTCTAATGTAAGGTATTTGATACTCTGTGGTAAGGTAATTGAGTGCACACAGTACATAGTGCTGTTTGTTAATATAGACATCTGTACACAATACCCATCTATAAAATTATTATTAGATGCAACAATTCAACCATAAGGGCAACATACAGTGCAAGAATATTACAGAAGGCCAGCACAACGAATTTCACCAACTTGCAGTTAAAGTTGAACTCCACACAGATATTAAAACAACCAATACTGCAATAAATATTCTATTCTGATTACTATATGTTCATAATGCATATAATGATAGTATTCAGTATATAAATTCATTTTTATGTCATATGTGTTCCTTTTAGATTTTTCTTCACACTTGCATACAAACCAACCTATCCAGCGCAAGTTACAGTGACAAGGGTTGGGATAAACTAAAATACTGTCAGGGTGTTTAAAATGGTTACATTTTCATTACGTGGGTTAAATCTTACAAAATACAGTTGCTGTAATTCCTCTTTAGCACTCCTGGCAGTGTTAGAGTTCGCCCTGCCTTCTGCCCCTATCACTTATGTCCTGCAAGTAAATGAGGAGAAAAATATACTTAAAAGCATATGAAAAAAGGGATATTGATATACAGTACTATTACTAGCTAAGCACATATGGCTTACAATATAGCTCAGAATACAGTAGTTTTCACAATATTGGTCCTTTAATGCTGTTGTGTGCTTTAAATATAAAACTAATCTACAGTATGAATAGCAGTCTCTTGTAATTTCATGTACAACAAAACTATAAGGCAATGATGCTCTGTTGAGGTTCTGCTTCATGCACATGTACTCATAAGGAACATGCTGACCAATGTACAGTAACTGCTGCTACTTCATTGATCTTCATTGTCCAATCGCAGGGTGGGGGGGGCAGGAAGGAGACCAAGCAGTATTATATAAAGTGGAACTCCATCCTAAACCTTTTATTTAGTTTCGGATATAGTAGGAATTGGTTAGATCCTCTGTGAGATTCTTATTGCTGTCAATGCCCCGTATTTCCTGTGCCAAAGGCAACACAGTGAGTGTGTAGAAATGTCCACACAGCAAGAGTATTCTCTTCTTTATCAGTGGTCATCAGCACAGGAGTACCCTTTGGAAGATTTCCCCTCATCTCCTGTTTCTGTGACAAATGTAAAACCTTCTCATCACTTTCTGTCATGGTGACAATGATTTCCAGGACAGATAGAGAGGGTGAGTGGGAGGTTTGAATCCTTGCATTCTCTACTTAAAACAAAAAATACATTTTTGTCCACCATAATACCAGTGGAGAAACATAAGGTCACCAACCAGGCTTTGCTGTCTGGCAGTCTGGTAGGTAAAAGAGCTCTCATGTTAGCCTGGAGCTCAGTTTAAAAACAGCCTTCCTTTATTTTATCTATTAAAGCTGAACACTAGGCATACATTAAAAAACACACATTAATGTAAAATTTACATTTTTGTGGTGGGTCATGTCATTTGTTAACATACATTTAAATAAGGAAGCCAACTAAAAATAATGGGCTGCCAAGGCACCAAAACAACCAAGGCACACAATGTACTAGAATGCCTTATGGTGCGTCATGGCCCCTGCAATCCATGTACATTGCCTTACTGCTTTGGGTGCACTGCAATGCATGTAGCGTTTGTTGCTGCACATTTTGACAACATTCATGTTCCTGCATTGCATAGATGTACATGGGCTCTGAATGTATTTTTTAAATGCAAGCAGTGTGAATACCTGACCTTGACCTGACTAGTCCCTGTACCGCAGAGTTGGAGTGTGAGAGCAAGAAGCATATTACTATGCTGCTTCTCCTTTCACTGTACATTAATTGGGGGAGGGTCCGGGATGCCCGTGACTCAGAGTAAATGGGTTGATTTATGCTGGCCATCAGACTAAGGACATATAGCTACAGAAAAAAAAGTACCAAATGGAAAATCTCAGGATTGAAGGCGAATGTTGCAACAAAAGCTGGTTTTGTTATTTTATCTATTAATGGGCTATTCATTTTTTTATCATTTTTCTGGAGTTCTGCTTTAAACCTTGTAAATAATTCATAAAGAAGACAAATATCTTTCAGTTAAAAAAAGCAACAGAAGAAGTTCATACAGAGAGCAAGTAAATCATTGCAGCCAATTGATCTGACCACAATGCTCAGCACAGAGCATTGTTGGAACAGGTACCCTTCAAGTAGTAGCATCCATAGGCACAGGTAGACCAATTATCAGGTAAAGCCATTTTAATATCACAGGGTAAATAAATGTATTGAAATAGAATTATTAAAATATCAAATGAGAGCTTAAAGAAAAACTTCTTTGGTCTGGAAATAGAGCTAATAAATATAGACATGATGTGGATGGATGCAACCTGGGGTAAAATTCCATATACTTTATGTATGAATAATCAATATTAAATAAAATCTAAAGAACAATAATGGTGGACACATTACAGTTTCTTATAACAACCATTCAGATTTCAGTTTACTGAAGACAATCCATGAAAAAAATGTCTGTTGGGAGTTACTGCATTTTCTAATTGTTTTTTATCTAATTAAAAGTCCAGACATCTGTTTATTACAAGAACTTAATATGTTTATTCACATCTGAATATGAAACTTTTTATACAGAGAAAGATCTGAAGACCAGGCGCAGAGCGGCTTTGATATCCCGTGATGAACTGGAGGACAGCTTCCTACGACTTCATGAAGAGAATCTGCTACTTAAAGAATATGCCCGAAAGCAGGAGGACAAAATTAAGAGGTATATATTCATGTCGTAGGTTTGTTATTGTCCATAGTGGCATTTACAGATGTCACCACTAGAAGACTGACCATTAACTCTAACAAAGCTGGGCCCTGACAATAGAACAACTGCATATATAACAACATCAGCATTATTTATCCTTTACTATGGCTTTTTGAATATGTTTTTAAACTCCACATGAAATCAGCTTAAAATGTACCTATGGGCAAAGCAAAAATTACCTATATGATGCAGTCTGTCACTAAAATTCCCACAGAAGTATTCATTTTTCTGTGTTACACCCCCTCTCCTTCAGTGATTTCAACAGAGGATACTGTTCAAAGCCCATTTCGTGTGCACCTTGACAAATTGTTGAGTGCGTTTGTTGTTTGTTTTGCTTGACCGATTTGGTGCAGCGACGCATGGGGTTTCTCAGCTGCCATTGGGATGTGCGAGATCCCTTGTGTGTTTCTGTGCTTTTAAGGAGGCTGGGTGTCCTCCTGACAAACCTGCACCCAAATTGAAATCTTCTGCCCCCATGTGCTCCAAGATGGAGACTCTCATAGTTTAGAGTTAGGACCGCACTATAAGAGGTGCCTTGGCGCGGCAGTGCGGCTTTCACATCCTCTGCAGAAGACGTGTATCCAAACCTCTGTTATTATCCTTAGTGGTGAGGCAAGTTGTTTTACATGCTGGTTTGTGAGTGTGCCATGATGCCTTTCTACTGTTTTACCACTAGAAGACTGACCATTAACTCTAACAAAGCTGGGCCCTGACAATAGAACAACTGCATATATAACAACATCAGCATTATTTATCCTTTACTATGGCTTTTTGAATATGTTTTTAAACTCCACATGAAATCAGCTTAAAATGTACCTATGGGCAAAGCAAAAATTACCTATATGATGCAGTCTGTCACTAAAATTCCCACAGAAGTATTCATTTTTCTGTGTTACACCCCCTCTCCTTCAGTGATTTCAACAGAGGATGTGAGATTAAATAGGGAAAAAGAATAAAATGAATAATTCAGTATTAAATAAGAGGATAGGAGTGGCACTCTCTAAAGGATTGAGTGGTATAATATTGCCACTCCTGTAACATGAAAAGAAAGGTAAGTGCCCAGGTAGAATTGGGAGGTCATCCTTTATTACAGATTTATTAAAGACTTGGAAACGCTTTTGGCAAGATTTTTTCAAGATTTTAAATCTGAGATCTCATACAATGTGCCCATCAAGGGTAATCTCAGGTTTGAGCTAATTTTTTAAATATTTGAAGAATGGAGTAGAAGGGGATTTACCATGCTGGAAAATGTAATGCATGAGAAACAAAATGTTATCACATACAAAGATCTAAATGATGTCAGGTATCACAAGTAGATTTTATTCCGCTTATAGGGAAATTATAGACTATATAGTAAAAAATGTGGATCCGCGCTTTATGGGTAGCCCTGATATTAAAGCAAATAGATAGAAATAAATAGAAACGTATAAACGCCCAGATTAAGTGAAGTTGAATACTAGAAAACCTTTAGAGCACGGAAGGAGTCTGAAGTGTTGTACTCCCAGTCCCATACCTGAACCATATGCTATTTCACTCTAGAGTTGTGAAAAGACTTTGGAATTAGCTGGAGAGATAGATAACCCATATGGCCAGAACACTCATACCTATGAAAAAGTTGTATTACCGCTATTTGCTTAGAATGGAGATGGAGACCTAAAAATGTTAACAATTTTAATAACAATTTAAAAATTGTTTAAAAGATGATTGGTCAGGAACATACAATGAATCAGTAATATTATACAACAAATATAAAATATTCAAATGTATGGTTCTTGGGGAAGGAGCTGGCCTAAGCGTACAAGTACTTGTCACAATACTTGTACAATAGTGACAGCAATGAATATGTTGTGCTTCTGATTCTTCTCTCTTTTACATGAAAGAATGAAGAACTGGGATCTACCTACTGCATGATAACAGGTGTAGCTGTTTTGGCACAAATACGTGGTCTCCTTCAGTAAGGTCTTAGGGTTCCAGATTTTGCAGTACTATGACTTTGGAGAGGCTGCACTTAAACCAAAAGGCAATGAAGTGGCTGTTCAAGCAAGATATACAAAATACTGTTTTGGCCAAACAGAGCATTAGACAAGTGGTAAAGTTAATTTATTGATAAAAAGTCAGCTAACAGGCCAATATTTCAGGAGCTGTAGGGGTGCAAAAATTTCAGGAGATGGGAATACTCACACTGTAGAAAACTCTTTTCTGAACATATATTTAAGAGATGGTTTGATCTCTCTTCCACTAGTCTGGCCCCCCTTCCTCTATATATATTTTACGTGCACAATAAATTATCTTTAGGATAAAAGAAATTGCCTGATATCAAGCAATGCTCGAAATTACTTTTATTAAATGGGTCGTCTTAATGATTAAATTCTTTTTAATGCAGATAGTCACTAGAAAAAATCTCTATAAATGTAGTAACTGAAATATGCCATATGCCAATATGAAATATGCCAAAGCAAACAAGAAAAAATGTAGGTCACAATTAAAATAACTTTTAGGTAAGCATTACAATAATAAGTGCCCACAGAAAATACACCACAGCTTCCCTTTAAAGGAAACCTGAAATAAGAAAATTATGCAGGTTGCTTTTGCTGACTTGCTTCTGAAAAGGCTGTGTTCCCAATTCAATGGCTTTAATATTTTGTGAAGAAAGTGGATAAAGTAGATCAGGGAATCTGACTTCCTTGTAATACCACTGGCTGCATATTGGCTCTCAGTCATTGACTTGGAAAGGATTGCATATCAAGACAACCAGACCTAGCATTTTCAGAAGGTAGATAACAATAGCATCCTCTATATTTTCTTAAGACAAGTTTCCTGTAAGCATAAAAGCCTTATATTTTAATTGACAAAAACTGGAATAAATCCATGGTGTTAACAAGCCACATGGATTTTCTCTGTGATTTTGTGGGTTTTCTCTGGTTTCCTCCCAGACTATAAAGACATGCTGGTAGGTTAATTGGATCCTGTATAAATTGGCCATAGTGTATGCATGTCAGATAGGGACCTTAGATTGTAAGCTCCATGAGGGCAAGGTGTGATGATCGCGCAGGGCCGGCCTTAGGGGTGTGCGAGCAGTGCGGCCGCACAGGGCGCCATGGCAACAAGGGCGCCGTGCGGCCGACACAGCTCGTCCTGGGACGCGGTGTGTGTGCGTTCTACCGTGGAGCGCAGCCGCTAGGCGGAAGTACTATTCACGCCGCTGCGTTCCAGGGCGGAACGCATCAGTCGTATTAGGTTCTGGGCTCCTTCCCTAACTTCCTCAAGACGCCGGCAGAATGTCAGCTCGGCGTTCCACTAATGTGGAGTGAGCGCCCTGCTGACTCTGCCATTAAACCGACCCCCTGCTGAACCAGAGAGAGAGAGAGAGAGAGAGAGAGAGAGCGAGAGAGAGGGACAGTGAGGAACACCATTGCTATATGCTGATGCCATCTCCAAACTGCCTGTTCAGCCATCATCCCTGCATTGGAGTTGCTGTTGTCCTAAACCGCAAGTAACCTGTACCACTATTACATTGACTCTGCTACTGGTTGCAATCTGCAAGTATACCTAAACGTGGCCATGACATTCAATGCATAACCTTCTATTGATGCAACCTTCATACACATGTGAACTGTGCAACCCTGTGAAATACTTGTGGGTACTATAGGGAAGACAGCCCCATACTCTATACTGGGACTCATATATGTTAGATATAGATAAGGATTACTTGTCTAGGAACCTCAACCTCAATCGTTAAAGGGGCAGTGTTGCTGTTACCGTTATTACCTGCCTTCTAAATTACTGATCGCCACTGGTATGAAGTAATACCTCAGTGGTTATCCTTGCTAAACTTATCTTACTTTCTACGGTATATGATGGTAGGACTCCTAACTCTCCGTATCAAAGATTGAGAGTGATGCCAGGAGTTCAACACTAATTACCGTAACCCCAGATTCAAAAACATTTTTCACCTATTACTTGCTTCCGCAGCTGCGATTCACCCCCGATTGGCCAGGGCCTGACACAAGGACTTAAGGGAGTATGCTGCTTAAATTGTTGACGCTATATGAATCTTGTAATAATGTGTGTATAACAATATCAAGATAGTAAAAATATTAAATCCATGATCAAATGCAAGTACTTTTGAAGAAAAAAATCTCCATTTTTCCTTGACAGAATGGCAACTAAATTGCTGCGTTTAACATCAGATCTTGGGCAGCATGGAGAAAAGAAAGTCCGGAAAGAAGGCAGAGATATAGAGGCTGAGGACACTATGGAGAACTTACAGGACCACGTGAGAGACCTGGAACGCAGAAATGAAGCCCTGAGGCAACGACTGACTACATATAAGCAGCGCCTTCAGTTGCAGGATGGATGTAGACATTGTCCCTATGGTGCAATATCAGCACAAATAAATTCTGGTATTAGAAAAACCACAACATTGCCAGAAAAATATAAGAAAGGTAGGAAAATAGACTAAAGGGAATGTATGTTACCGCATTCTGCAGCAAATGTGTGAAAAATCTAAAGAAGAAGCTCATTATTCATTCATTCTTATGAAATCCACAAACATATCATCATATCATTAGATGTTCTGGTGGTACCTACAACAGTTGTCAAATGTTAATTTTTGTTTGTAGGTCTACGTGTGCAAGGTCCAGGCACTGGTCCACCACGAGTAACTGCTGATTGCTGTGGGGAAAGCCTCAGTGATGAAGCCAGAGCAGAGATTGAGAGACTGTAAGTAGCGTATATAAATGTTAAATGACAATCTTATTGAGCTTCTAATAGCACCCAAACCAACACCTAACCTTTATCCTGGTTTGGGTGTACCCATTCAATTAGAGTATATGTAAAGTCAAAGCTTTTTAGTTTCACTTTCTGTCTTTGAAATACAACAGGAAATGTGTGGGAATCTCTCCAAATTGAAAGGAACTTCTAACTTAAAGAGTAGGGATGTTCAGATACCAATTACTGTACTCGGTACAAATACAAGTACATGTATAGATACTTTTCCATCTCCAAGACTAGACTAGAGGAAAACTCAAAACTTAGGAGGCAGCTGTCATTTGTAAGGAGCACACGGAGCTCCTGGGATTTGTACATCGCTGTTTTAATGTATGATTTGGTTTATATAAATATATTTTAGGAATGCACCAATACCATTTTTTAAAGTACGAGTACTGATACTTGCCCAAGTACTCACAAATACAAGTACTGATACATTTTTGTTTAGTGTCATGTGACAGTTTTTCTAAAACAATACAGGCTAATGATTTCAGAACAGAGGTGGCTGCAACCGGTGCAACCCTCGTAGTTCTCATGAAAATACCAAGTATCTGAACTGGTATGTGAACATCCCTATTAGAGAGCTGTCATAGGGGCAGGTGTCTCTGTTGTAAGATTTTCTCTCCCCCTTGTTCTGATAACTCAAACCTTCTATGCTCTGTCCAACACTAAAAAAAAATGTAGACCTTTACATACACTTCAAGCAGGAATTACTACAAAAGATGGTCTTCTTCTCCTTCTTTGAATTCCATTACAATCACATATTCATATTTACACTCTTAATTTCCAATATTTAAAAAGTAAAATTTTTATACATTATGTTAGTGAACAATATGGACAATATATTTGGTGTAGTGCATGCTTTATTGTTATTTTCTTAAAGGAGAACTATGGGGTCAGTGTTTTTCCCCATAGTTCTCCTTAGGGTAACGGGAGGACACAAACTAGCGTCCTCCCGTTACCCTAAGCTCAGTATACCGCGAGCTACAGCTCGCGGTATACTGAGACGCCGGAGCGGATATCGACATCGATGTCGAGATCCGCCCAGCTGCATAAGTGACAGCTGGATTTGCCTATCTAGAGGCAGAGCCAGCTGTACCCGCCCCCTCCCCCGTCCGTTCCGCCAGTCAGCGCCAGCCCCTCCCCCTGTCACGGCAGAGAGCTGTGACAGGATCGAGAGGTGAGCGAACCCGGTATGTGTTCGCTCACCTCCCGATCTACTGAGCCGACCTGTGACAGTCTCATTGTCACAGGTCGGCTAGAACTATGAGGTGAGTGGAAATCACTCATCTCATAGTTCTCCTTTAATGTCCCTTTGAAACAAACAATTGCATGATAATCAATTGAAAAAAATACATATAACTGACATTTTGCCTTTCAGATTTCAAATTATTAGCAGGCAAAACTGCAATATGGATGAGAAAGCCACAGTTATATTAAAGCACATTGCTGCTGCCAAGCCTAAAGATCTGGAGACAGAAATCATGCTTTCTCTGCAGCATGTGCAGCAGGCCGAGGACCAGCGGTAAGCACAGACTGGCTTAATCTGATTGGTTGTTAGTTAGAAAATGGATTGCTGGAGTTTGCTGCCTCTCTTGTGTTTCTTCTTTATTCCCGGCATAGATCAGTAGTGATCACCTTTTTAGAACTATTGTGTTTGGTTAGATATTAGCTACAAATTGTGCAAACATGTAAAAGGTGTAGTACAGTTTGCTGCTACTACATATCACAATAAGGTCCCCTTAAAACTATATCACTTCCTTTTTTACATGCAAATTACAATTGATAACGTTGTTTTTTCCAAACATGTTGAAATTATAAGAAAATAGGTGTGTATTGTTTGCCAGTTGTATGGACAGTTGGGAGGATGGAAATTATTGCAATCTCTAATAAATGCTATTTGAATAACGCAAGGACAACTAAAGGCTCTTGTATGACAATCTAAGCAAATAGCTAATCCAGTGACTCCAGTGAGCCAAATACACCTTCATTATTGTCTAACATGCTCCCCCTCCTAGACAAAGCAGTTCACAATGGGAGGATTTCAGCAACAATCCAAAAAAGCAGTGGTCAGTGTGTCCCTGGGTTCAATTAGCAGCTCCCGAGTTGGTCAGCGAGAAGAAGGCGTCCCCACCTTCTCCAACCAAATTACCTTGATCCTCACAGCCATTGGTATGCAGAGGATAGCAGGTCCTTGGTAGTAGTTGTGCAGCTTCTCTTCGAGTCAGTATGTGGTGGCGGTGTCACAGATGGTATTCCAGTCACAACATCTGACCATTCATCCATGCTGCAGTTCCCCTCTATGCTGGGTCTCTCAGTCTCTCACTGGGGATGATGAATCAGGGGTCACCAGGCAAAGCCTGTTCTTTTTGTTCTTTTTTTTTTTTTGTTAGAACAATTATACAAGAAAACATAATGAATATTCGTCTGCAAAAGGAGCTCAGGGAGAAGAACACAAGTCTTTGTGCCCTCAGGGAACAATTCCAACAGCTCAAAGAGGTAAAACATGTTGCTTTTACTTCAAGGTCCCTAAAATATGAAGATAAGCAAACACTGCATAGCCAAAAGGATGTGAACACCGCTCCAAATTATTGAGTTCAGGTGTTTCCTGTGAAGGCCACTGTTAACACTACAATTTACAGTACAAAGACATTTTAGACAATTTTGCACTTCCAACCTTGTGGCAACAGTTTGGTGGAAGGCAATTTCCTATTCCAGCATGACTGTGCCTTTCTGCACAAAGCTAACTCTGTAAAAACATTGTTTGATGGGCTTGGTGTAGTGGAAGTTGAGTGTCCTGCACAGAGCTCTGACCTCGACACTACTGAACACTTTTGGGAGAAATTAGAATGCCAATTGCAAAGCCAGGTCTTTTTGACCAACACCAGTACCTGACTTCACAAATGCTGTTTTGTCTGAATGTGCAAAATTCCCACAAACACACTACAACATTTTTGTTGAAAACCTTCTCAGAACAATGAAGGCAGTTATAGCTACAAAGGGAAGAGGAGGTCAACTCCATATTATTGTCCATGGTTTTGGAATGGGATGTCCAACAAGCTCACATTGTTGTGATGGTTAGGTGTTCACAAACATTGGGCCGTATAGTGTATATAAGATGACTGTATTTCTACTGATGGGAAAAAGCTGCTTCTTTGCCTCTGATGCCTATAGGCAGAGGTCTGTTGTATCTAACTGAAAATCTGGCCTTGTGTGTGGTGTTTTTTTGTGACTAGTCTTTTTTATAGTCTATCTTCACACTATCTGTCCTTTTTCTTTTTACAGTCTTATGAGACAGAACTACAAGAGGTGTGTGACATATCAAATCCCAATACTGACTGTTATCACAAGCATCTAAAAATGTAACTTTTTTAGATGTAATAGGTAAAAAAAATACTTTTTTTTTTACTAAATATAATAGAAACAAAAATCACTGACACTGAGTCATAAGGCTGTGTTGATGCAGTTGGAGGATCTCAGCATACAACTGAAAGAAGAGAGGAGTAAAGTTGTAGCCCTGGAGGTGGATCAGCAGAATATGGCTACTCTTCAGAGATCCCTGGTTGAGGTAAGGCCTCAGTGCAGCCTGCCAAGTGGGGAGATGCAAGAACAATGGTCAATTGTACAAAAGCAGACAGTATATGTGAGATAAAAAAAATATGGGAAAATATTTAAAACTCA